CAGCAGTTAAGGCAATACATTTTCAATATATATTTCAAACCCCAGTTAACTTTCTATTTTAGAAGGTTAAAAATGCTTTAGTTAATATTCCATGGCATCTTTTAACAAGGCAATTAACACTATTCATTTCACCCATTCTTTTCTATTTAAAAACAAACTATTATAATTAAGCTATTATTAGAAGTTAGCAAAACCCACATTTGATTAGTTTTACTAGACGTTTGTCAAGCAGTGTTGTTTAAAACTAACATGTATACTTTTTAATGGGCATGACTGGTTGCTATTCAATATGTTGTTATTAACGGATGTTATATTGGATTTTTAACGATTGCTGATATTATGTCTGATCATTGTATTGTATTATTTTACTCACTGTTGTAACCCGCCCTGTGCCTTGCTGTGCAGGGGAGGGAGGGCTAGAAATCAAATAAATAAATATTTAATTACATGCCCTTCCATATATAGCTCATGCACCCTTAATTTGTCTAAAAATGTTCTTCCTTGCTAAAAATCTTCAGCTTTTCTAGACTTTTTAATATACCCAAACACCATGCATATCTCCATACACACAAAAAGACGAATAAGTGAGACAGCAGTGGTAGGGAAGAAGAACAACATAATGTGAGCAAGAGGAAAGGAAAAAAGAAAACAGCCCTATGAGTCTGATGTCCTGTTGTTTGGGATACATATATTTGCCCAAAAAAAAACCCCAAAAACCAACCCTCATGTCTTTATATATATTTTTCTGTACTCTGATTTTATATAATAACTTTCTTTGCTGTAATACCCATAACTGTAACATCACAGGTACTATTTCTGGTTCAGTTTTATCTTTCTGTTAACAAACTACCTTCCTCTTTTACTGGCCAAAAAGGCTCTTCTATTGTTCCTGCTTTATTTTCCAAGTGTAACAAAGCCACATTATGACATTTGTGGGCCCTAGGCACTTTTGCCTTTGTGGGTCTTTCCCACCATAATAATTATCAATGTAAAAAATATATATTTTTGGTATAACTTTAAATACTTCAATGATTTATCTTTTCCTCTGTTTGAGGCAAAATATAGATGACTGTCTTTGCATATTTAAAATCTGTGGTTCCTATGTTGTTGTTCTTTTCCAATCTATGCCAATAAAGGTGTTGACTGACTTACTGACTGACTGATTTTAGTAGGCCCTAACATTTCATTTTTTTCTGATGTGAGAAAAAATTAAAACATTTTCTTTGATCCTAAACATTCATTTTTTCCTTCTGATTTTAAAAGAAATTAAAACATTTTCATGGGCCCCTAAAAGTATATTGGGCTCTTGGCACTGTACCTACTGTGCCTAATGGATAAGTTGGCCCTGAAGTGTATCCTAACATTAAGAAGAAGAAGTGAAGAGATTGGATTTATACCCCGCCCTTCACTCGGAGTCTCAGAGTGGCTTACAAACTCCTTTCCCTTCCCCTCCCCACAACAGACACTCTGTGAGGTAGGCAGGGCTGAGAGAGCTCTGAGAGAACTGTCCTTGAGAGAACAACTCTGACAGAACTATGGCTTGCCCAAGGTCATCCACCAGCTGCAAGTGGAGGAGTGGGGAATCAAACCCGGTTCTCCCAGATTAGAGTCCACACACTTAACCACTACACCAAACTGGCTCATTAAACACCATTACCCACATATTCTACATATTCCTAGAACCAGATAAAGGTCTTTATCTCCCCCTTCCCAGTACTGACAACTGTTAAGCAAACTCTAATGTTCCCTATCCCAGTGTTTCCGAATCTTTGGCTCAGGACCCAAAAGTGGGTTGCAAAGCCTCTGGAAGTGGGATGCAGGTCAGCCCTCCTTTCCTAATGGTGGCTCCTGCCCTTTCCATTCTTTTCTTTTTTATTGCCAACTTCCACATTCTCATCTCCGCCTCCCTCTTTGTGACAATAAGGAGGGGAGAAGCCCATTGGCTAAAGGGGGGGAGGGGGGAGGGTAAGTGGAAGCTGTTCAGCATGCCTTAGAAAAAATGAGAGGAGAGTAGAATGAGGTGTGTGCCTGCATAACTTGGGCTTGTTCTTGGTACTGCTCCTTCAGCAGCCCAACCTCTTGCCCAGACCCCTGCAGTGCCTCAGTGCCCTTCTTGCTGCGGAAGATTAATTGCACCTAGCCCCTTGCCACTAGCCTCTTCACCAGCTGCCATTTTCACATGTCTCCTCACCCCAACAAGCACCCCCTCCTCAAGCTGTAGCTCTGGCCCAGCTGGCAGAGGAGGTGGAGACAAACTCCCATTAATTTGGGGTTCAGAGTGGGGGCAGTTGCCCCCTTTGTGTCATGTTTGTTATATACTCAAAAACCTCTGGTTGGGCACTATCAAAAAAGGATTTCTGGAACAGATGGGTACTAAGGTCATAGTTTGTCTAGCGCACAGAAAAATCTTTGGCCAGTCTTGGATGGGTCACTGTGCAAAGTAAATTTAGGTTTGTGGATCACCATACTAAAAAAAGTTGGGAACCACTGGTGTATACCAACCACATCTCCAACAAGTCTCAGCAGCATTGTACCCTTTTATTAAATTCTTCCACAATACCAGGTAAGTTGGTGGAAACTGTTATTAAGGAAAGAATTAGTAGGCACATTGATGAACAAAAACTATTGAGGAAGACTAAGCATGGGTTCTGTAAGGGAAGATCTTGTCTCACTAACCTGTTAGTGTTCGTTGAGGGAGTGAACAAACATGTGGACAAGGGGGACCCAATAGATGTTGTTTACTTTGACTTCCAGAAAGCTTTTGATAAAGTTCCTCATCAAAGGTTCCTAAGTAAGATCAATAGTCACGGGATAAAAGGACAAGTCCTTTTGTGGATCAAAAACTGGCTAATTAATAGGAAACAGAGAGTGAGTATAACTGGGCAGTTTTATCAGTGGAGGGTGGTAAGCAGCGGGGTACCACAGGGATCAGTACTTGGTCCAATGCTTTTTAACTTGTTCATTAATGATTTGGAGCTGGGAGTAAGCAGTGAAGTGGCTAAATTTGCAAATGACATGAAGTTGTTCAGGGCAGTGAGAACCAGGGGGGATTGTGAGGCACTCCAAAGGGATCTGTCGAGGATGGGTGAGTGGGTGTCAACGTGGCAAATGGGGTTCAATGTGGCCAAGTGCAAAGTGATACACATTGGAGCCAAAAATCCTAAATATAAATACACGTTGATGAGGTCCGAACTGGCAGAGACTGACCAAGAGAGAGATCTTGGAATTGTAGTAGATAACTCAATGAAAATGTCGAGACAGTGTGCAACTGCAATAAAAAAGGCCAACGCTATGCTCAGGATTATTAGGAAGGGAATTGAAAATAAATCAGCCAGTATCATGATGCCCCTGTATAAATCAATGGTGTGACCTCATTTGGAGTACTGTGTACAGTTCTGGTCACCACACCTCAAAAAGGATATTATAGCATTGGAAGAAGTGCAGAAAAGAAGAAGATATTGGATTTATACCCTGCCCTTCACTTGGAGTCTCAGAGCGGCTTACAAACTCCTTTCCCTTCCCCTCTCCACAACAGACACCCTGTAACTAGAATGATAAAAGGATTGGAACACTTTCCATATGAAGAAAGGTTAAAGTGCTTGGGGCTCTTTAGCTTGGAGAAACGAAGGCTGATGGGTGACAGTTTACAAGATTATGCATGGGATAGAGCCGGTAGAGAAAGAAGTACTTTTCTCTCTTTCTCACAATACAAGAACTCATGGGCACGCAATGAAATTGCTGAGCAGTTGGGTTAGAACAGATAAAAGGAAGTACTTCACCCAAAGAGTGATTAACATATGGAATTCACTGCCACAGGAGGTGGCGGCGGCTACAAGCATGGACAGCTTCAAGAGGGAATTAGATAAACATATGGAGAAGAGGTCCATCAGTGGCTATTAGCCACAAGGTATAGATAGGAACTCTCAGTCTGGGGCAAGTGATCCACTGTATTTTTGGTGCTTGGGAGAGCTTCTAGTGTTCTGACCCCACTGCTGGACCTCCTGATGGCACCTGGTGTTTTTGGCCACTGTGTGACAGATTGTTGGACTGAATGGGCCACTGGCCTGATCCAACATTGGCTTCTCTTATGTTAGCTTAGTGTATTCAATTAAATTCTTTCTGTTGTACCAGATTCATATCTAGAGTTTAATATTTGTCAGTGCTTCCTATTATGGTGAAGAAAATACAATAATACTGTATATTATACATTTCCATAACTAAATTGGTACTCACTTTTTTACACATCACAGATTAGCAGCTGATCATCTCAGTATGGAGGACCTTGGGAACATCCACCAAATTTAGTAATTATGGGTCAAAACGACATTTGGAGCTATTTTCTGCAATGACATAATGTATCTACCACTTTAGCATATGCTTGCAATATGTGCATATCACCGTATTAACTTTTGCATTAGAGTGCTTGCTTGACACTATCTGGGTTAACTTCAGGATTAATCAAAGTTATTTTAGAACTACTTCTAATATTAAGACAATGGTGGTCTTTTCTGGAGAATCAAAGGTGTGTCAATGAATTAAAAGTCTGATTTTGGAAGGCTGCTTTACAGAATTTGGGTACTTACCAATTTACCCTAAATTAAACAGTCTTCCAGTAACTTTCACAAGTTTTGAACCGGAGTGTCAACAGTAAATGCACTCCAATCCAGATCATGTTTACTTGGAACTAAAATCTGTTGGTGTCAGTAGAATTTATTTCTAAGCTGTTATACCCTTCTTAGTCCACTGAAGTCAATGAGCTTAGAAGGATGTAACTCTGTTTAGGTTTGCAGTGTTAGTGTGCTATGGATAATATCCTTATAGTCATTTACAGAGGTAGGAGAATACCTGTTAACGTTGCAGAATATGCTTGAATACTGTGAACTGAAATATCTTACAATACTGTCAAGTATTCTCTAGAAGGGTTTCACTATAGTATTGTACGGTCTTAGTGCAAACTACAGAAAACAGATAGTTAATACATATGTCTCTCTTCTATGCAGATGACAATGCCTTTACCATTCAACATAAAACGATCAACAAGTGCATCCAAGTTAAAAACCTGGAGATATTGCCAGGGGAGTGCCAACAGTCAAAAGAGGCCTTATGGACATGGGTCTCCCAACATCGCCTCTTTAACTTGGGATCCCGACGGTGCCTTGGACTAGATATTACCAAACCCAGAAAACCTTTGAAAATGGTCGAGTGTGACTCAAAACTTATTCTGTGGTGGCGATGTGCTGATGACTTAATACTTACTGCAAATGGGAACAAGTTGGCTTTAAAGGAGGAATATGTCACTGCAAGCAAAGACTCTTCTGATGGATGGAGAAGAAACAACTCTAGTGACGTTGTTTGTAAATATCCTTATCCTGGTATGTATTTCCTTTGTATCATTGGTCTTGGGTGGTGTGTGTGTGAGACTTGTTAAGTAAAGATGGCTAAATGCACTTGTAGAGAATTCATAAGGGAGGGACGTTTCACACATTGCCCTCAGATATTTTGCTATCAAATAGGGAACTGCAGCCCTGACCTGGATAGCCCAGGCAAGCCCAATCTTGTCAGATTTCAGAAGCAAGGTCGACTCTGGCAAGCACTTGAATGGGAAACCTTTCTTAAATATGGAAGGAGGGAGCAGGCTTTATTCAGGCACCTCTCTGGATATCCTCCAGGCCCCCAATAGAAGTCAGTCACCAGAGGTCACCATGACTTCCAGGTGGACACGCGCACACACACACATGGACATATGAAAAATACAAAAAAGGGGGGAGGAACTGTAGCCTGTCATATCTCACTGCAAGTTTTGGAAGTTGGCAAGGACTGCTTAGAGGAGCCACAATCATTTGGAATCCATCAGGTTTACGTTATATTACAAGCTGTGAAATTTGGCAAAGATTACTTAAAGGAGTCACATGCATCATTTGGAATCCAACACGCATGTATTATTTACAGCAGCTCTAGAGACTAAAGTCCGGGAATGGTGCTTTTCATAAAATATAATTTGGCAAGAAATGTGTATATGATTTAGATACTTTGTATGGGATATTTATTATGTTGTATTTATGAAGTATTGATTTATGCACTATGTTGTGGTTATAGGTTATTTACATATTATCATTAACTCGTCATTTATGGGTTATTAGTTATTCACATGGACTTTTTTATATCTTGGATTTTCTCCTTATTTCCATGTTCTCCTTTTGTGTATATAATCATATCTCACTGTCAAGCCTGCTTTATGTTTACACTTGCAAACATGTTTGCTTGCATTCTTATGTAATTTAAAATATGTCAGGTATCCACGTTTTTAAAGAGGTGATATGTGAGGTGACACTAAACCTAATCCACAAAGTCACAGAATCATGCGCTTGGCCAACTTTGTGACCGCACTGGTGCTTACTGGTTACTGCTTCTTGACCTTGGGTTGGGGGATGCCACTGGATTAGATAGGGTAAAAAGCCCCTTTGGATATTGCCATGTTTTCCAAAAAGAGGGAAAGAAATCCATGCATTTTTAAATGAAAAAGTAAGCATGTTATAGATATCATGGTATAGACATTGCAGAAGGCAATGTCCTGCATAATACCCCCAGAATTAATATTCGATCTAATAGCTTTGTGTGGCAGAACAGGCCTGCTTTGACTTGCAGACCCTGTTCTGCCCACCCCTTCTTGGTGTTCCCAACTCCTGGAGGGTGTTGCTTCTACTAGGGTAACTCAGTGCCACCACTTGCCCTTTTTTGGGGGGGGGTTCCTGCTAGGAGGGACAGGACTCCTAGCCCCCCTTTCCAACCTGAGGCCCTGCCTCTATGTCCTCCATTACTCAGAGGCTCCCCTGGAGAAATAGCCATGTGCACACTGACTGCTTTCCTCCCAACCTGGGGGCCCCTCTTGCACTAGTGTGTCCAAGTCAGTGGGCGAATCTAGGTGGTACAGAGAGTGAGAACCAACCTCCGATGTAAAAAAAGATTTGTTGAAAGGAAAATATTTACAAGCATCCCTAAGCACAGCACTAGATCAGCAAACAGATTTCAAAAGCAGATTGGTCATAAACGCAATCCTCTTTCTTATTTTTAGACATACCCTAACTGGTGTTAAAATAGGGCGGGCACTAATGATCTTAAAAAGTTACAAAGTTCTTATCTACATCCCATTACCAGCAAAAGATGGCCACCACGACTGACCATCACTTAGAAGTCTGTTCCCTCTGAAGAATCAGCACCAAGAGACCCTTCCTCCTTGGAGCAAGGGCTTTTATCAAACATCACTCCCTCCACCCTCTTGACCCGGTCCGCCCAGGTCACAGGTGCATCCTGGGAGCCCTCCTGGAAGGCATTCTGGAAAATCTCCAGGAATCATCTGGAGACTTCTTGGCACCAAATTCCTTAGTTTTTCTTCTAGGCCCATTACCAGGTCCATAGATGTAATCTAGCAGGCAATTGAACTGGCTTCTTATCACTTCCAGAGAGTCAACCTCCCCACACACACTTTTAAAACTCAGAGGAGGGGGGGGGTCTCCATACCTTATTTGAGTAATTTTTTGGCACTTCGTGATGCCCTCCTCCCCCTAACTCCTTCAGCTGCACTCATCTTCCTTCTCCTGGATCTGCCCAGTTCCTGCTGCCCTATGCCGACTCTTAAGTAGGCCTTTTCTCCCAAGAAGGTCTTTGCCCTCAAGTAGGTCTTTTCTCCCTTGGGAACTGGCTGTGGTTGTCCTTCTTTGTCTTCGCTCCTGCCATGCCCTTAGCGGCCCCCAGTGCTCCCCCTTCTGCCCCATTACAGTGCTGCTGGCATGCTTAGGCAGTGCCCATGTTCTACTTTTCCTCCCTCTGGGCTGGGGTGCCCTGGGATGTGACACACTGCTTCTGTTAGTGTTTTTAAAAGTCATAGGCTATCTCCGCCCCCTCTTAAATCAGCATAGATTATACCATTCGCTTCAGAGAATGAAGGATTAATTTCTTCCAACACTATCGGTGATTTTTATATCCATTTATTTAATGTATACCCTGTATTTCTCTCCAGTGGGTACCCAAAGCAGCTTACATCATTATCTTCTCTATGTTTTATCACTGCTACAGACCTGTCAGGTGAGATAGGCTGAGGGAGCTTAACTGGCCCAAGGTCACCTAGCAAGTTTCCATGGTCAAGTGGAGGTTCAAACCTGGGTCTCCTAAATCCTTGTCCAGCACTCTAACCATCATGCCACAATGGTAGTATGACTTGTGGGTAACTTGTTTTCTTTAATATAGAATTGTATGCAAAAGATGTTTTGCTCACATTAATTGCTGGTTTCTTAGGAAATGTAGGAAAGTTAACAGTTATCTCTGAAAACTGTTTGTCTAATTCCTAACAACAACAATTGTTGTTGTTGTTGTTGTTGTTGTTGTTGTTATGTTAACAATCAGAATTGTAGAAACATTTTTAGGTCATTTTTAAAATGCTTGGGTTAATTATGGCTAAACAACTCACCTTCCCGTATATACATTGTGTGGCCCTAGTTAGGAAAGTGGGGTACAATGCCATAGAGGCCACCCTTCAAAGCATCCATTTTCTCCAGGAAAATTGATCTCTGTAGTCTGGAGATGAGCAGTAATTCTGGGGGATCCCGAGGTCCCACCTGGAGGTTGGCATCCCTCAACAGGCTGCATTCAGATGTCATATCAAGCCTGTATGAATTTACATTAGAGCCAGTTTGGTGTAGTGGTTAGGAGCGTGGACAAACCAGGTTTGATTCCCCACTCCTCCACTTGCAGCTGCTAGATGACCTTGGGCAAGCTATAGTTCTGTGAGAGCTGTTCTCTCAAGAGCAGTTCTCAGAAGAGCTCTCTCAGCCCCACCTACCTCACAGGGTGTCTGTTGTGGGGAGGGGAAGGGAAAGGAGAATGTAAGCTGCTCTGATACTCTTTCAGGTAGTGAAGGGTGGTGTATAAATCCAATCTCCTCCTCCTCCTCCTCCTCCTCCTCCTCCTCCTCCTTCATAAAAACAGCATATTGCTCAGTTTGTGTGTGTGCCTTTGCCCTTCCTTTCTCTCCTGCTTTTCTGTACAGTGTAATAAAGGAGTCCTGGTTTAAAGCTAGCTCTGGTTCCATGTGAAATAAAAGTGCATTTATACAGTTTATCTGGAGTTAGTTTTCTCCCCACAACTTGGAATTCTGGGTTAATCCAGGCTTAGAATCCTGGTGTAGGGGAGGAATGCTAATTCTGTGCACACAGGTAACAAGGATTCCTTCATTCCACTCTGCACAAGAAGAGTGAGGTATGCATGCGCATGAGTCCAACAGTGTTTTGGGTGCACACTAATTCATACTTAAAGTTGACATGCAGTGATTTCTGCATACACCACCCTCGATTAACTCAAGTTGAACATGAAATGACATGAACTGTTCAGGAGATGAATGGATAAGGAAGAAACTGTACAGAACTCGGCTTGCCAAATCTTGAAATTAAGAAAAGAAATAATGCGTAGGACCCAACAGGGCTAAGTGGGAGCGCCTAACAGGTCAAGGAAGAATGCACTTTGCTCCTTTAAGATATACGTATTGTTCACAATTCCTCCTCTATCAAGCAATACAGTTCACAGTTGCCCTGAGAATACAGACCATTATTAATGTACAGAAGCTCTTGGAAGGTAGGCTCGGAGCCCTTTATAACTAGCTGTTCCCAGTTTTGATATTTATCTTCAGAAAAAAAAAATTAGCTTAGTAATATATCTTCATGTCCTGACCAATGCTCCCTCTAAGCTGTGGAGTCTTGTGAGCAAAAATTCTACTTTGTGAGCTACTGGCATTAAAGTTGTGAGCAGGTGATTTGACTACTGCATGAATTAGTTTGCCCTGGAGCCAACCTTCCTGAGCTAAGACAAAAATGTCCGAGCCGGAGGCTAAAAAACTGTGAGCTAGCTCACACTAACTCAGCTTAGAGGGAACAATGGTCCTGACCTGGATGACCTAAGCTAGCCTGGTTTCATCAGCCCTCGGAAGCTAAGCAGGGTGGGTCTTGATTAGTATTTGGTTGGGAGATCTCCAAGACATACCAGGGTCGCAATGCAGATGCAAGCAATGGCAAACCACCTCTAAACATCTGTCATCTTGAAAACTCCACGAGGTCATCATAAGTCAGCTATAACTTGACACTATACACACACACACACAAATATTTGTGCCACCTACTTCTTCTACCTCAGCATGTATAATCTAGTAAAAACGGGACATACATAGTCCAGTGTCCTCACCATAATTTTCCTTATCAAGCACCTCTGATGATTCCTTCAAGTTGGGCTGGTTCAAGCTATTGAGATGCCCCAAGTGTCCTCCTCCCTGCTGCCTCAGCAGGCTCCAAGTGAGGGTGGAGAGAAAAGCTGGGATGGCGACAGCCAA